AAAAGAGCGTCACCCATTATAAGAATATGTTCTGTAATATAACCCCTACATCCTAAGACACACATACAATAATACATCATATTACTCATCTACTGTACAAGTCAAAATTTATCACCAACATGACTGATGTCTGAATTAATATGAGTGGTATCCAGGACAATATGAAGCTATAGTGAGACTGCTAGACTGAAAAACAGCTGAACACACTGACAAACAATCAGTTTTAGGATGTTATATTTTCAAATGACGATCAACAAACATGGTCAAAATCAGTAGTGATGGTAAATTCACTGTTACCATCCTCAGTATTATTAATGACAATAATATTGTCATTTTAAGACATATTACAAAATGTAATGCTCTTAGAGTCAGGCCAACAGAAAGTGAAACTTCAGTAAACCATCTAACTAAAGTGACATTTTGGATAACAACATAATGTATAGTTAGAATATTCTTGCTAACATTTAAATATAATGTATGTATGCACAAGACAGAGGGAAATAGGAATGCACTGATTTGATCCACTGGACCATATCGGGTGTCGCCCAGACGTGACTGATCCATAATGAATTAGTTTCTTTTCAACATTGTTATGAAATCCAGTGTTCTCAGTTACTTTCATTCAGCCAAGGCAGGACTCTATGTTAATCATACAAGCAGGGCTGCCCCTGACCAAATTGGGGGCCTAAGCAAAATTTTATTTGGAGGCCCCCATCCCAAATGTATCATAGGTACAAAATGACCGTACAACAACTTGCCATTTAACTTGACAACCTTTACTGGCAATAACAAATGTACTGTAGATACAGTAGTTTGGCTGTATGAGTCAAATAAAATAAAAAAATTCAACCTGAAATAAATAAATAAATATTAAATAAAAATAACTTCAAACTGAAATAAATAAATAAACAAATCTGAGTCACAAACAGCCATCAGTTACTCATCAAAAGAAAGTAACTTCCACCACCTCAATCCCCCACCCTTAATTAAACACTGAAAATAAAATAAAAGAGGGAGACAGGTTTTTTCTATTTAATCTTATTTTGTTATATTTCTCCCTCTCCCCTCTCTGGAGGCGTCCGATCTCCCTCAGCCCTCCACCTCTCCCACCTTAATTAAACACTGAAAACAGAAATAAAATACAGAGACATTCTTTTCTATTTTCATCTTAGCTATATTTCTCCCTCTCCCCTCTCTGGGAGCATCCGACCTCCCGGCCCCGCACATACCCCCAAGGCTCGGGTCGGGCGGCCCTGCATACAAGTGTGACAACAGGCTTAGGGTAGTTGGTATCAAATGCTCAGGCTGTGTGGGCATCTCCAAGCACACCTGCTGTTTCAGTTCATGTTAAGAGCAACAGCGCAAAGTGCAGGAGGGCTAAGTGATGCAGAATGTAGATCGGAGGGTGTGGTGATTAACGCATATGCTCTCAGCCAGTCACATCGCTGGTTTCAACAGTTGTGCCAATCAGTGACGCTTGACAATAACTGCTGAACAAATGGAAAGATGCTTCTTTAGAAAATCACACTGTTGTCTGGATGGTGCAGTGACACAGTGTAAACACACAACACATCCAATCTGCATCCAGAGGCAGATGAAGTGGGTTTTATCTAATTTGTACAATGATTTAATAAAACTGTTTAGTAAAGCCGTTTATTTGATCGCATAATTCCAACCCAAATTCAGTCATAATTCTTGTTGTACAAAGTTACATCATATCATAAAATGTGACACAGCAGCATTTGCTTTGTACTGCTACTGATTTTTTTTGTTGTTGTTGTTGGAAAAGAGGCTGTAATAAACAGGATTAATGAGTTCCAGTAGTCTGATGTCTCTGACATAAACAGGCTGAATACTGAGTTATAACAGACCTGTCTGATGTGTATAAAGGTGAGTGTGGTTATTTTGTAGCAGCCCACTTTCATTTACATGTAATGTAAGGTAAATGCAGTGAATGGCTGTGCATTATACCACTACGCTCTAGCGCAGCACTTCACAAATACCAAGCTGCAGATTTATAATCATATTTCTCCTGCTGCCTTCAGGAGGCTGCAGGTATTTAATGAACTTAAGGTTTTAATAGAGCACAAAGTCTGAGACCCAATTTTTACCAAAATACCAAGAACTGTCTTTGTGCTACCTGGACCTCCCATCTCTTTGCACCCCTTTACCAACCAGTGCACCATGCGCTTAGCGCTGGGCACCAAACTACCACACAGAAGGAAAACATCAAACAATTGGAGCACTGCTTGTACTGCTCATTGTGCCGCCATCAAAAAAGAGCCCTTAGCCTGTAGAGCCAATACAGCTCTGTCAACATGATACCTTATTTGTGCCAATTAGCTTCACACAGCAAGGTATACACCGCTTTTTTTTCCCTCCTAAATTTAAGATTGGGAAAAGAGACACAGCACAGGTATGGGATTGGGAATCTATATCATAAAAACCTATTATGGTTCTCTATTATTTTATGGATTTTCTTTTTTAAAACTAATATGAGTCCTCATAGTATCACTATTTTTTATAATTCATTGTGTTGTGGATTTTTTTTTTTTTTTTTTTTTTTTTTTTTACTGTGTAGTGTATTTAAAGAAAACTGTGCATTTTTACAGCAAAGCTTGTCTGCACAATTGAACATGACCTGTTCTTCTTGTAATGTTTTAAGATAGGGTTTATCATCTTGCTCTTGTGTGGTATATGAATATAGCATTTTTATCGCAACCAGGGCATCTTACAGAATGCAATTTTCTTCAAAGCCAACAGATGTTTTCTCTCTTATCACAAGTGCTGACTGGTTCTTTGATGAAAGCAAGGGTCAAAAACACATTGTTTTGCTTATTATTTTAGACTGGCTTTCCAAGACCTTGCTTAACACACAAGACCAAAAAGGAATACAATACAGGGATTTATCTGTGTGTTTGTTTCATACAGTTTACCAGGATTAGGCAGAGGACATCTTAAATATTAGTTTTAGGTCCTTCGAGTTTCCATGTAACAGGATAGCAGCATACTGCATATTGTAAAGATATGGTAAAGACTTGAAAGTATAGTAACGTAACCAATATTGCCATTACATTAAAAGCCTTACAACTCTGACTTTACTAATGCAGCTTTAGTAATCTAGTGAGAAAACTGTGTTAAACATGGGGTGCCAAGAAAATCTCTTTTGATAGAATCTATAACCAGAAGCTGTAAAGTAGCCATTATTCCAATTACATACAGTTCATGAAAGCTATTACAGTACTTGTTCAGTGCACAGGATGTGATATGTGTCATAAGTGTGTGTGTGTGTGTGTGCATTTGTGTGTGGTAGCAGTCAGAGTTAACCTTATGCTGTGTTGACTATCAAGGTCTCAGTTTGTTTACTTTGAAGCACTGACACAAACGAGTCAAAGTGGCAAGTTGCACTTCAGAGACATGAAAGCTATGTCACTGAGGAGATGATAAAGCTCAGCAGAACCAAAACTAGGGGGAAAAAAGGCTTTACTTAGGTATGCTTGGTTAATAATTGCTAGTTGTTGATTGGCTGTTGTAAGAGGAGTACACTCTGCAGAGGGCTGACATAATAATAGGTTTGGGCTGATAGAGAACAAGAGGAGAGATTTAAGGAGCCAACAATGGAAAAGGCAGGCTGCTGTATTAGAATGTTAATGAAATATTAAAATGCAAGTGAAAATTTAAATACTAAGAACAAATCAGCATGTAACAAGAACCTGGAGACCAATGCAGCACAGCAGAGCCCATATGAAAAGCTGCACTAATGGGCTAAGATACAGTCATGTAGTGCATACGTAGAGTAAACGTCACTTAGACGTGGAGAAGATGGACATATTTTAACCTTACTGGGCTTAAGGGGTGAACAATTAATAACCAAGTCCAAAACTTATTTTCAAGACTTACAGTAAGGGGTGCCCTACACACAGTCTGAGCCAGAGCAAATGTGAGATGGACAGGCCTCAGATTAGCAGTCAGTTGCCAATTTATGAAATACACCTTGCTAAAACTAATGCAGTCTAAAACACACTGACCCAACAACGACTGTGACCTTCAATAAAGTTGTAACATTCAGTTGTTCAAACTGTTTGTGGTGCTGCTGAATCATAATGTGTTAAGTGTTTCAATGATTTTGCTCAACCCCTTTATTTCAATGAGGGTAGATTAAATACCTGCAGGTGTTGTATAGTATAGTATAATGGTGGAGGAAAAAAATCCAAACAGCATAGTATCACAACATTTTTGTGTGGATATATTGTATTGTCCCACAATGCTAAGTATTTTTTCATTATATAAATCATTAATATGACAAATACAAATTAAACCTAAGGTAGCCTACTAGAATAATGTAATCAATTGCTTTTTCAGTCCACTAGATACATTTTGCTACTACAAAAAATGGCTGGAGTGAAATGAAGAGTCTAAAAATGTTATCTTATTAGATAAAACAGATGTTGACAAAGTTTTCCTTTGGGGACATTATTTACAGTTGAAAAAGGGTGATAAATCACAATATATCACAATACTCAGCATATTACAACATATTTTAAATTGCAATACTATTGTATTGTGACTTGAGTATTGTGTTAAAATTGTGTCATGGATCCTCTGGTGATTCCCACCCCTATAATGTAGTGTAGTACAGTATATGTTTTTATTGTTTTGGTATGAGATTGCAATGCTTTTAGCTGGGTGCACATAATGAACTGGCAAATGAAAGTCATTCCACAGAGGGTCATGCACAAAGGTTTCAAAAAGTTTTCTAGACAAGCTTAGGGAATGTTAAACAAGGAGAAATTACCAGTCAACTCTTCTATTAAAAGGTGAACATACTAGACTAAACAACCACAGAGAGCACATACACACTGCGCAGAGCCAACACATCACTGGCTGTCTTGCTGCATTCACGTTTCAATACCATGACAGTGACACTGCTATATGCTGAACAACACATCAGAATAACAATGCCATGATAGCCTACTTAAAAAAAAAAACACGTTACTCACCATTTCATTCGTGAAGGGGGCAGTGTTAATATCTCTCCAGTCTTTGGTGCACCTGGGGTGAAGTTTCTCTCTAAGTTCAACGACACAAAATGGGCCCTCCGCATGTAAAGCATGGTTCTCCTGTGTTTCGTAAAAAAGTGTGTGGGGGGGGGGGGGTAAACTTTAAACTGTGGCAATGAAAGTCAGAACTTACTGAAAAAGTTACAAAAAAGGCTATCCACTAATGCTGCTGCTGCTGCTGCTCGAGCAATGTTGAAATTACTGTGAGAACAACGCCTTTATGCAGGACTTACCTTGGCCAGCTTCTGTCCTCACGCCATGCTCTCTGAAAAGACTCTGGTTTCATTGTACAAACTGACTCGGTGACGGTGTACAAAGACGTACACGTCAGTTTCATTTGTCAACTCCAAAATAACTCAGGGTCGTAGGCTGCAGTACCAAAGAGTAGCAGCAGCAGCGGGAACGTAGGAGAGGGGCCTGAACTGATTTAAGCTAGCCGGTAAGATTTAAACTTCGCTGACATTGTTGAACTCTGAACTCTCTGGTTTTACTCACTTTCGCCTCCTCCAGACGCTGCTGCACTTCGCCTCCATTAGGATATAAACTTGCGTCAAGGGGAAACTAAGTCAATTTAGCAAACTACGTTTTTTGCGCATTGCGGTAACAAAGTCCTGCCATATCAATTGGGTGACTCCATAACCTGACGTTGACCCGCACGCGCAAATGGGGGCGTGGTTTCAACTACTAGTTTATGGTCACCTGAGCAAAAAGCGCGTGTGCTGTGCCGGGAGCCTAAACAAAACACAAGCTGATGTCTAAACCAAAATGCAGTGATAAATTCTCAGTGCATGTTCTCACTTCAGTTTGTTTTCCATTAGCCTTGAAGCGAAGACATGTTCCAAGGATACAGCAGTAATTTTACAGTTAAAATAAGAACCAGATGCTTCTCTTTTCCAAGTCCACCTAAGACTAGAGTTTTCTTTAAAATAGTGAATAAATAAATAATTTACACATGTAATGACTTCTCACACCAAACGTTTCATTCGGATTTGAATAACTGTACTTTCTGTAACTCAGATATTGAAACCCTAGAACAAAAAAACATGGTGTCTAAAGCTTGGCAAACTGCAAATACTAGGCTACATTAACACAAATACTGTACTTGAGCTGTTTGTGCTAACTTCCTACATGGGTAAATCAGTTTTGTACAACTTTATACTTCTACTTAAATACATTTTGTAGGGCTAAAATATTGTACTTTTACCCCAATATATTTATCTAAATAGTTACTGGTTATTATATTGATAAATGTAAAATATACTCAGTAAAGATTATCTACGGTAACAGTATACATGAATTAGCCAAAATTAGCTTTATTTTGACCGATTAATAACAGTAAAATCCCTCTAACACCTGCAACAGGAATATCCTCCTGAAACCCAGTGTCCTCATATGAGGACATCACATTTTGGGTTTACTTGACCTTACTTCATTCTGCTTAACTTAGACCTGTTGTCCTTGTTTGGGACACTTTGTTGTGCCATCAAGTGGTAGTAAGAGCAAAAAACAAGATGGCAGCCATCTCTGCAAAATTAGTCTATAGCCGATCCCGACACAAAAGTGTACAAGGTCCAAAACCTGATCACATTTTGTGGTTGAAACTCATTTATTTATGATTAATAATGTTTGTAGTTAGAAATGGCAAAAAATTGACAAATTTTAGCACCAGTAACAAGTTAAGAAGCTGCTGTAGGAAATATTCGTTTGAAGACATTGGGACTTTATTATCGTCTTGTTTGATGACATTGGGACTTAATTATTGTCTCGTTTGAGGACATTATGACTCAATAATCATTGACAATGTTCAGTTTTTTATACTTATTGGGTCCTACTGATCCCAAATAGCTAGGAGAAATTAAAATGAGGATATGCAATGCTGAGGAAGCTAATTTGAAAGCATAGCTTTGCAAGCTAACAATTACTTCACACTGAAAGGTGAACTATTTCAAGGCTAGCCTGGGGAGAAATCCAGATTTGGTTGACCAAAGCTACTTAGAAAACTAAGTTCAAGATACTTTGTGCAGGAATGATCAAACTGACAATGAACATGTGATACGAATCTCAAATTTGGTTTTGTAGGCTTCACAGTGTCAGACAATTGCCTTACATAGGTCCAAGTGGGAGTAACACACCACGCAGGTTTACTCAGTTAGCCATGTAACTTCTAAAATAGCACAGCATAGTTATACCTATGCTAAAATAGCATAGATACAACAATTTATCTGAATATTTATTAAAAATAGTAATAATCAATACTCAGTAACTGACAACTAACATATTCAAGTTTAGCTTTACAAATTCTGTCTGAGGAATGCATTACCTGGGCGTGTCTTCACAGCGGTCAGGATGAAAGAAAATGGGGTGGGGCTGTTCAATCGGTGTGCAGTGACAGTCATTATTGTAAATTAAATAATACAAAAAAACATTCTTTTCTTTTAATGGACCAAAATTGTAGTAGTAGTACAAAAATTGCAAAAAAGTACTTGAATCACTGTGCAGATATGAATGTAGCGGAACTACCAGCGAGCTACTGTAAAATGTAGTTAAACTACTAGTTTAATTACAAACAGTTCACTACTCTCCAACACTGATGCAGTGGTTAGCATTGTCACCTCACAGCAAGAGGGTTGCTGGTTCGAACCTAGGGTGGAGGAGCCCTTCTGTGCGGAGCCTGCATGTTCTCCTTGTGTCTGCGTAGGTTTTCTCTGGGTACTCCAGCATCCTCTCACAGTCCAAAGACATGCACATTAGGTTAATTAGTGATTCTAAATTGCCCATAGGTGTGAATTGGAGCGTGAGTGGGTGTCTGACTGTCAGCCCTGCGATAGTCTGATGACTTGTCCCGGGTGTACCCCACCTCCTGTCCAATATCAGCTGGCTCCAGCCCCTGCATGACCCCCAACAGGATAATAAGAAAATGAATGAATGAATATCTGACAATATACTGTTCACATTTTCTCTGCATAACGAGTCCTTTTGCATTTGATATTTAAGTACATTTCAATACAAGTACAAGTACTTGTAATGGAGGAGTGCTTCTTTGTTGTATAGGCTTTCTAAGAAGCAGACATGTGACAGTGAGCCAGCATGCACAATACCAATACCCTGAAAATAAGGCAGCTAATAAATTCAGCCATCATTAATTGTATTGTGCTTTTTCTTCTGTGACATGTCAAAATGTCTTCTGTGAAAAAGGTCTGTTGCTACCTTTACTTTAAGGTCCTGAACACCGTCACAAGTGTTTTTAATAACTCTGCTCTGATTGAACGTAGGTGGAATGACTTGAGGTCACAGGAGAACTTTGCGTAGGCCTACTCAGAGTGATAAAGGTGTAATTTGTACCGCACAAACAGGTCCAACAACACTAACAGGAGAGTGGGGGAGACATGAATCAAGCACTGTCTGTACAAGCACAGTCCTGATAAATTGTCTAATCAGCCCAAATAATTAAAATCGCCTGTGTGGGTTTACCATGGGTGTGCAGAGCCTTTAAGTAAAGGGTCTGAATACTTCCCAGACCATTAGTGAATCTAGTGCTGACACAATTAGTCGATTGACAGCAAATTAATCGCCAGCAATTTTAAAAAGCGAGTAAGTCATTTGTCAGACAAAAAGTCCAAAACTTAGTTGGTTTCAACTTTTAAAATGTGAAGATTTGCTGTTTTTCTCTGTTTCGTGTAATTAAAAACTGAACGTCCTTGGGTTTTGGACTGTTGAGTGAACAAAACAGGTATTAGATGTTACCTTGGGCTATGAGAAAATATGATGAATGGTTTCACTATTTTCTGACATTTAATACACTGAATGACTAATCAAGCCATTGCAAAAAATTAACATATTAATCCATTATGAAAATAATTGGTAGTTGCAGTCCGGGCTGAATCCAAATGACTAAAGTGTCCTGCAGTCTTTGCAAGCTGTCCAAAGATTAAATTAAAGTTTTATTCAGTGGCCTGAATAGGTAGCATACATAGAGATTGTAACTATGTCATCAACTCTGAATTAGTCTCAACTGTTAGGTTACATCCCAGCAGTGTGCACATGGTCTGTATTCTAATTGCACCCCTTTCAGTCACTAGAACAATATACTAAAATAATAGTATATAATACAGAATTTGAACATAAGACTGACTTTATTTGTGCTACTTGCAAATGTAGCATATATTAAGCTGTCTTTTTACTGCAGACTTTATTATGCCATTCTGTTTCTTGAAACCTCCCATGTCATATAATGTCATAAAATAGGCAAAAGAATATGATAAAAATGACATCTGTGATTTTCTTGATTAGAACTGCTGAAATGATAGCTGAAAGCTTTAAAATATAAATACCAAGCCTTTATGATAGGTCAACACTGCAGGTCAAACTCAGACGAAAAAAGCAGCCTCCTCTCCTGTCTGCAGTCTGCCTCTCCTTTCCTGGAAAAGTAATGATCATAGCAACAGAGGAGAAGCTTATCAAATTGGCTGTCTAACAGTCTGTCCTCTTGGGAAAGAAGACCATACTAGACAGACTGAACAGTCTCTCTATTGAAGCGTGGTGTTGGTGTGTAGTAGCGCAGAGACATCTGCTTGTTGGTGGGGTAATTGTTTAGTCTCTCAATAGCCGACGATGACCTGAATTGCTCTGTAATCTCTGAGTCTGCGTTTAAAGAGCCACTTTCTTCCTCATATGCAGAATTGTCCTCATTTTCTGCTGTTGATGTGTAAATGTAGGCAATTCTCTGATGACTTTCTGGGAGAAATGGTTATGCTTTATATTAATATCCTTGTATTGAGCATCAGTTGTTAGCTAATGACAGCCTTAGAAGTCCTTATAAAATGGTTATTATCATGTGTCAGTCAGAATATTGTGTTGATAATAGCATCATAAACAGATTCTGATTATTAGACATTTGTAGGCACTTAAAGAAGTGTATTATTATGCATCTATTAGGAGATTACTATCCACCTATCCACCTCGGGTTAATAAATCCTTTATTTATATTTTTTAAAAAGATAGTAAAAGATACAGGGAATGACACATAGCAAAGGCCTATGGTTAATATTGAACACAGGCTGCTGCAGTGTAAAGTCGTTCTTAGTGTGCTCACTCAAGGTGAGCTACTGGGCCACCCTATACAATTATTAATAGGTAAGTGTACTTTCCGCAGCTCCTCCATCAGGAATAAGCACAAAACACACTTTAAGACAGCCTGACCCTTTGCTGCATGTCATCCCATCTCTCTTTAGATATCTTAAAAAAAAAGTAATAAGTGCATAATAAAGAATTTATTAACACTAAGGCATTGTTCTCACTTAAGATCTGCTGCAAAAGCATAACTGTTAATAAGTGCACAATAAAGCATTAATTAACCCTAACAAGGCATTGCTCTCGCTTTAGACCTGATAGCTGCAAACAGCATACTTAGCTGGTAATAACTGCATAATTAACTGCTTATAAATGCATAATAATGCTTTTCTTGTAAGTGCATATAAATGTTTTATAATATGAAAATGTGTATGGTGCTATTATTAGTACTTCAATAGTTTTATTAGATAATAATGTTAATAAGCATCTTAAGGACTTATAAAGCTCTTATAACCTACTTAATAAGACTTATAACAGGAC